GCGCTGAGCGAGGAGGGGACGGGAGGGGACGGGAGGGCTGCCTGCCGCCTGGTCTTCAGCGGTGGCTGCTGACAGGCCGCGGCCCAGAGAAAGGCCTCCTCCGGCCAGGACCGCGGGCACGCTGGCCGTCCTCTGCAGGGACCCTGGGCACCAGTGTTACTGAAGGCAGACGGAGGCCGGGCCACCCGCTGACTGGTGCCCTAGGGCCCTGGGGTGCTGGTGCCTGCCTCAGGGGGTCTTAGGGGCCGTCTGCTGAGCCGGACGTGACCAGGACCCCCTCGCGGCTGGGCAGGGACACGGCTCCTTTTGCCCACTTTTCATCAAGATGCTCATCTTTTCCTTACTGATTTGTAAAGGTTCCTTTTATATCCTGGCTATGACTCCTATCCCGATATGTAATAGAAACGTCTCCCAGCCCGCAGCTTGTGTTTTCTTTCTTTCTTTTATTTTCTTACTGCTGCAGTTGACAAGAGAGACTTTATGAGGCCCCAGGATCACAGAGGCCGGGCAGAAGGCGGCCCTGTGGGCCGAGGAGGTGGTGGCGGGGCCTTATTTAATTTTCTCCGGGCACAGGTTGTTGGCGTGGGCACCCTTCTCCTTGCTGCAGTTGACAGCACAGGGGGGCACCAAGCGCAGGGTGGACGCCTTCTGAATATTGTAGTCTGAGGGGGTGCGGCCGTCCGCTAGCTGCCTGCCTGCGAAAATCAGGCGCCACCGGTCAGGCGGAGGGCCCTCCTTGTCTTGGATTTTAGCTCTGACACTCTCAGTGGGGTCACTGGACTCAGCCTCAAGGGTGATGCTCTTGCCAGTCAGTCTTCACACGGACCTGCACCCCCGCGTCTGCTGGGGAGGCTGCCCCGGCGCCTCGGTGAACAGAAAGAGCTTGCTTTCTTTTTTTTTTTAGTTGCTGAGAGAGAGAGAGAGAGAGAGAAACATTGATTAGTTGCTCCACTTATTTTTACGTCATTGGTTGATTCCTGTTTGTGCCCTGACCGGGCACCGAACCCGCAACCTTGGAGCATCAGGATGATGCTCCAACCAACCGAGCGACCTGACCAGGGCTGCAGCCTGTGTTTTCATTCACTTAATTGGTTTCTCTTGATGAACAGAAGTTCTTCATATTGATGAAGTGCAATTTATCAGCCTGTTTTTGTTTGTTTTTTGTTTTTAAAGATTAATGACTTTCATGTCCTGTTTAAGAAATCTTTGCTTATCTGAAAGTCATGAAGATATTCTCCTGGGTTTTCTTCTGGAAGCTTTATCTCATTAGGAATACAGTTTGTCATGAATTAGTATTTGTGGATGCTACGAGGCAGGGGTCAAGATTTATGTTTTTCCTCGTGGATATCCAGTTCGGCATCGTTTATTGACGAAACCATCCTTTCCTCTACTGTCTTGCTTACGTTCCTTTGTTGTGAATTAAGTGGGTCCGTTTCTGAACCCTGTTTTATCCCACTGGGCTATGCCTATTCTAATGGTAATCCCACACTACCTAATCACCGTTGCTGAATTATGGTCGCTTTACAATAGGTCTTAATAGGACCAAGTCTTCCAACTTCGTTCTTTGTCTTCAGTATTGTTCTGGTTGTTCTAGGGTTTTTTCAATTCCCTATAAATCATTACGTCCATATCTATTACCAAAACACTGCTGAGATTTTTTGATTGAGATTACATCGAATTTATAGATCTTGACGTGACATCATAACCATATTGAACTTTCCCGTCCACACATGTGGTGTCTCTCTCCATTTATTTAGGTTTTCCTTAGCCTCTCTTAGAAATGCCTGATGGTATTCAGTGTAGGACTTGCATGTCTTTCAAAAGGCGAATTCCTAAGTGTTTTATATTTTTGTTATTGTAAGTTATTTTAATTTTATTTTCTACTCATTTGCTGCTGGTATATAGAAATAGACTTAATTTCATCTATTATTTTATCCAGTGATCTT